AAAATTGAAAACTGTATAATAAAACTTTTACTTCAACATGTTAAGTATTTTAATCACTGACAATATTAACAACATTTAGTTCTCAATTATCCGTATTGGGTAAATTTTCAAATTATATGTATTAATTTACTAAGCAAAATTCACCTTTCGATAACGGAGAAAAATAGTGCTGGTGAACGCTAGCTCCTCCTGCAGATAGTCCAGTAATTGTAACAGAATTTGGATTTCCTCCAAAATATTTGATATTATCCTTTATCCATTTTAGCGCTAAAACTTGATCTTTTAAGCCGTTGTTACCAGATACTACATTATCTTCAGTACTAAGAAATCCTAAAAGAAAAAGGGGGTACCTAATAAATTCATTCATTCATTATTTTTATAAATTTAATTTAAATTTAAATTTTATAATTTAAGACATGTAAAAAGCAAATTTTATTTTTTGCTTATTAATAATTACTCATTACAATAAATATTTTACTAAAAACTCATTGGCTTATAATACTGTTGATACAACATTAGCGCTATACACCAGAGAACTAAAATGGTGTTCCCACGACATTCGTTGATACAGGTATCTAACAACTCCTTTTGATCAATTTGGTGATAATAATATGTAATAATTAACATATGCAAAAAAAAGATTAAACGTCCAATGGGCGTCCAATTAACTGGACATGGCCTTTATTAGTAACCCTTGCGTCCATTATACTGGACGTTGGCAGTCAACCTGTTAAGCCGTGTTTTGTTAGATTTAGAGTATCCTATGGTATTGTATACTTTTTGATTATAATTTTTAGTGATTAATCCATAGGATTATTCGTGAAAAGTGACACCACGCCGAAGCTGACTGACAAATGTCCCGGCTTTTATACGATCGATGAAGCGGCTTGCATTCTTGACGTAAGAATCTGCTTATTCTGCGTATTGTTGTTGTACTTAAAATCGCAGTAAATTACGAGTGATAGGAACCGAAGAGTGTGACGTTTACAATCATAACTAACATTGCAGAACATGTTTTGAGTGATTACAATTGTTTGTAAGACTAACCTGACCAAAGATGGGTTTTAATTGAACAAGCATATAAGTCGTCTTCTATTCAACTGATAGGGTTATACTACATATTCTCATAATGTTGCATACACTGATATTAATTAATATCTTTTTAATCTAAATTAATTAGCTTTGTTAGTGTTTTTTACTATTACTTTCGATATGTTGAACCAGGGTTATAACTGATGGGACAGTCTTGTTGAAAAGATTGTCATGTAAAATTTTTTGGGACCGAATCTGTTAGTGCACTTAGAGAATAATCAGTAAATTGGATACATTACGAAATTACCATTCAAACTTTTTATATTCTACCATGTGCACAAATCCTTAATCCTAGTATTTTAATTGATTCAGCTAAAATCATAATTATCTTTAACAACTTACCTAGAATTGCCAAACGGTAATTAAAGGTGACATAGACTACATCCTGGTCCATTATAAAATCTGGTTCAGCCACTAACGAAGGAGAACCAAATTGATAGGCACCACCATGTATATGAACAACAACGTCTAAGTTTTCATCCCCTTTAATATTTGTAAGTGGGACATAAACATATAAGTATAAACAATCTTCAGAACCTTAAAATAGTGCAATAAAAATGTTATGTACTGTAAACGTATCCCACTTTTGTTTTAGGGAATAAATTAAGAAACACTTATTATTTACCTATAATTTCGTTTATTCCTGGTATAATAATATATCCTAAACACATATATGTTGTCTTTCCAATTAATTGTCCTGTCCATTTATTAGCAGGTTCAGGTTCCTTAAATAGTGGTAACAATTTTTTTTCCATAGATAATGTTAACGTGTTGCTATAACAACTGTTTTGAGTAGATAAAGTATCACTTTAACCGCAAGGGTAGATAAAGTGACACTTTAACAGCAAGAGTAGATAGAATGTTTTATATTTTTTTTTTTATTCAATAAAATTTACAAATTCAAGCACATTAAGGATTAAAAACAACTGAAATTTTACAATAAACATTATTAGATATATCTATTTTTGGAGCATCAAAACTTGTACTCGTTTGCTCAAACATTTGATTCGAGGTACTGGATTGATTTTCTGTAACATTTGTTTGACATTTGTTGACAGAGTAATTCATATCCCTAGCAACGGAGCAACACAATTACGATTTTTATGCTAAAAATTATAATTTTCTTTGAAATTATATTTTTTACCTGAACTTGAAGTCTTGCTATAGAAAAAAAATGTTGTATTGCACACGACGATAAAATCGCATTATCTTCTCGAGCATAATTAGCGTCTCGACTGACGTCTCGAAGATAAAGTAACATTTTATCGTCTTGTATCAAAATTAAACATTTTTGTAAAGTTTGTTTAGCAGAAAATAGTTGAATTCAAATAGTGCGGTTGTAAAAATTATTAAATTTATATGACTTGGCCCATTGTTAAGACTTTATACCTCAGGTAAACCATTGTTACCGGGTCAAAACCGGGCCTTTTATAATATTATCGGTTAACCTAAGATGTTTGTATTCGATACCAATTAAAGTTAACCATTTACTGCTAAACAATCTTTATTAGTTAAGCCTTATGTTAATTCAATCAAACAGAAATAAAAAGTAGACAGCTAAAAATTTCTTAGTTTTCAAAACCAAAAGCTTTTTCAAAGTCGCTCTGATGACATATAAGCGAATAGTAGAGGCACTATACGTGAAATCAAGTCTTGACTGACTTTTCTCAATTAAAAAGATCTTTAAAATTTGAAATATTATGTTGGTTTCATCTTTTCTTTTGCCGCATGTTTTTCAAACATGATGGTCGCCAACATCAACAAAACGGTTTGGTACTACAATAAGAATTTATCATCACAATAAGTAATGGTGCGATTAGTTTGATTACGAATGTATATAAAATATTAATTTTGTAACCTTAGCCATGTGTTCGGAGATGATCCAAACTGGCAACAGCGCTCCCACATCCTACCCCTGTCCGCCTTTGACACGGACCAAAATTTGACTCTGCGAAAGATTGTACAGACTTCTCTTTACGTTTCAACTACCGACCCGAGAAGATATAGCGCTCTTAAGTTTCAACTGCTATCACATATTAACTATTGTAAGTTATATGTTTCTTATACAAGCAGAGAGCAAATAAATAGTAATTGTATTATCTATCAAACAATTTAAGGGTATACTATTTATAATTAAGATACATTTCTACTGAGTAAGAAGCACTTTATTTAAATACACACAACAAAAAGAACCACCGCTTAATGGAAATATACCAAAGTCGAAGGAATAATCCGAAGTAATTATACCGAATTGCTTATACCCAGCCGAAGATGTTTATTCGGCCCACTTGGACTGTGTCACAGGAACCCTGCACGTTTTCACCATTTCTACCATAAAAAATTAAGACATACACAGTCAACCAAGATATTAAAACTCAAAGTAATAACAAGTCTCTTGGTTAATAAAAATTAAACCAATATCATTCTTAGGGTTTAGGCTAATCTTAGGGTTTAGTTGTTAAGTAGTTTATTTCGGGTAAGTTGCGAACCTTCACGTAATTATGTATCTCCTTTTCTGATCCATCTTCCAATATTTTTTAAGAAAAATCGGCCATAGAAACTATTTTACTCGAAAATAATCTGTTAGTGTCTTGATAAATTCTTTTATACTCATTCCGATGGACCCTAGACTGTTTCTGTTAGATTATTATTCTTCTTCTTTTAGTACCGTCCCCACTAATGAAGGTTGGTTATAAACATTGAAAATGAGTCTCTCTCTTCTGCTTTTCTTAAGAGCGTCTGCGTGTTTAACCCGGTCCAGTCAGAAATCTTTTTCAGTCAGGATATTTGTCGTCTATCAGGTCTCCTTTTTCCTTCGAGTTTACCCTTTATAATTAGCTGCAACAACTCGTACTTATCGTTTCTAAGTATGTGCCCCAAATATGCTGTCTTTCGCTTTTTAATCGTAGTCAAGAGTTCTCTGTCTCTTCCCATTCTGTGCAACACTATTTCGTTCGTAATATGATCGGTCTATGGTATCTTCAAAATTCTCCTAAACAGCTACATCTCAAAAGTTTCCAGTTTTCTTTCTCATTAAGTCAACATTAATAGTTCAGGCTTCGACACCATGAAGAAGAATAGAGTAGATATAACATTTTACCATCCGATATCGTATTTGCAGATTAAGTCTTTGGTTACTCAGAAATTTCCATTATCTTCAAAAAGGCTGTTCTTGATTACTCTATTCTTGAGGCAATTTCTGATTTTGGATTAAGATCTGTAATCCAGACTACTAAGTATTTAATTTTGTCCACTTGCTCAATATCTTCATATTTTATCTGGATCCTTGTAATGACTTTGCCTCTCTTACTGATAACCATGGTTTTTGTTTTTTTGATGTTTATTGTTAAACCAAACTGTTCCCCAGTATCACAAATTGTGTTAAGTAACGTCTGCAGGTCTGTCTCACTTTCAGCAATAATGACTGTATCGTCAGCATAACGGATGTTATTTATATTTTCACCATTTATCTTCATCCCCTCTGTATAGTTTTCACGTGGTTGCCTAAATAACTCTTCGCAATCTATATTAAACAGTAATGGTAAAAGTACACAGCCCTGTCTCACTTCTCTACTTATCTGTTGCGCATCCGTGCTATTTCCATCTAATGTTACCACAGCCTGTTGGTTCCAATAGAGATTTCTCACTATGGTAATGTCATTTCTGTCAAGTCCTTTTCTCTTTAGACATTACATGAGGATATTTAACTCTGTCGAAAGCTTTCTCATAGTCTATAAACGCAACGAAAAGATCTTTTTGTTGGTCTCCACATTTTTGGGCAAGAGTTGTGAAACTATACAGAGCTTCCACTGTTCCGAAGCCGTTACGAAAGCCAAACTGTCTATTACTTATATACGCTTTGCGGATTATTATTATTATGATATTTAATTAAAATACAACGTACTTACAGCGAATCTTAAATTACCAACAGGTGGTTTTGCATATGGAATTCCTTCAAAAGCTAAGAACTGTCTTTCTCCAAACGAGTTTTTATAATATCCTTGTACAGTGCCTTGAGGTGTTTTAACAAGAGGTTCATCGCCGTTTACATAATACACTAAAAATGTATATATTAATTTTTATTGGAAAGTTAAAACAAAATTAATAATTAATTGATAATATTTTTTTTATTATTGAGTTAATGCCTCCACAACTATGATCATTGGCATCATTGATAATAATTAATTTAATAAAATCATTAGAAATAATTAGACGTATGCTATCATAAGGATATAAAAAGAGGATGATTGTTTAGAGTATTCATATGAAAGAAATAATAGATTATTAGCGAAAAACTGGTATTAATTAATACTTCGAAATATTTTATTATAAATACGTTTTAGAGAAAAGAGCACATTGAGTATCACTTATAGGGGATTGAAACTGTGGTCAGAAATTAGTGGGCTGGAGATGTGGTAAGTAAATAAACCGAAACGTCTGCAAATGGCCACTCTTTGTTTGGTTGGAGAGCTGGGTCGTAAGTAAGTGAATAAAATTAACTGAAAAGGGGTAACTACAAGGGAAGAAAATCAAAAAGTACTACTCCAAAAAAGTAATCAAAAAATCTACAAGAAGGTTCATAAACTATTTAAAAAGGACGCCGTTTACAAGTTGGGCACTGGATTAGGATCTCCGATTATCAAATTGCAATCTTTAAAACTCTTTAAATTTTTTCATAGCAGTCAAATAAAACACAGCACGAACAAATCGGTGATTAACTCAACAAAAAACTGTCAGATCGCATTTTTGAACAAAATTCACCTTGGCACAAAAATATCAAAATAATTTTGCCGGCTTTTTGAAGACTACGCCCACTGAGATCTTTCTTCTTTAAGATTTTATTCCAACTTTACTTTAACTTCACATTTAACTGCTATCATATAGGTTATTCCACGAATATACGACTGTTTGGAATTATTGCTACAATGAATATTTTACTGTACAAGTAGAAGTATGAAAGTAAATTGGTCTAACTATTATTCCATAAAAAAGGATCTTCTGTTACTATGACATATAAACGAAAATTATTTCAGTTAGTAGATGTTAAGATAGACACAAAATTTATTGTGAAAATTAATCCGAAAATAACAAAAAAATTTACGTAAACTCTCCTACAAATAAATATAATGACCTCTATGAAGTTAAAATGTGTTCAATCAGCCATTTGGGTTGGATTTCGGTGAAATGTAAACACCAAAAAGGCGCGCCGGGTATCTTTATTACTTTATTAGGTAAAGAAAAAGAATCTAGTATTCCACTTTGTTAGTTTTTTGTTGGCTTTGAGTGGATATACTCTTAAAAGTTCCGAAAGTAACGGGTATAACATGGCGGCTATTGATAGTTAAAGTACCGAGTCATTACAGATATTAAAAAGTAACGAAAATTTACATACAGTTTCATAAATCGCCGACTGATTTTAGTTTTAAAAACAGTCCGGATAGAGGTGGCCGGTGAAGAGACGTGTCCGTTAAGAGAGAGTTTAGTGTAGTGTATTTGTTTGTAATGGTGATTAGGAGAATAAGAGTAAGAGTAAGTTTTTTTGTTTTTTTTTAATACTAATTGAATATTCGAATAAATAAATTAAACTATTTAATCACTTAAGTATTGTTACACTTCGATTAAATCACATAATTCAAAAACCAACTTGTTTACAATACTAAAGTCAATGAGAGTAATTATACGAGTATACTTCAAAATCTGAATTACAACTATTCTATAAACTATCAATTATATATTTAGATCATAACTTCATATTTAAATCTAAGGTGTATATCTGTCATAACAGTATTTTAAAAATGGGGAGAATTTACCATTGTACAATTCAGCACATTGGACCATTTAAGTCGACACCTTAAAGCGAATTTAAAACAGTCGTATATTCGTGGAATGGAGTATACACTATATTTCCATGACAAAAACGAAGGCCGAAAATACAAAAGAACATCCAATCTCCTAAAATTTTGAATAACGCTGGGCCCATAACGGTTTCTTAATATTGTTCTGAAGCTATTTTCTTGTGGCATTGTAAATTAATTACTATTTATAACTGGGAATAAGCCACAATTAAAGATAAAAATACGTTTATTGACGTTTCAATTTCCAATTCGGAAATCGTTCTCAAAAAAAATTTTTGAGAACGATTTCCGAATTGGAAATTGAAACGTCAATAAACGTATTTTTATCTTTAATTGTGGCTTATTCCCAGTTATAAATAGTAATTAATTTACAAACGAACAATAACGAATTTAAAGAAAATTCGAACTAAACAATGAAACCGACTCCTATCGCGCTCCATCGTACAGTGATATGATTATTTTCCCCGCGTCACGTTCTCACCAATTCAAGTGGATATTTATTTGAAGCGCAATACTAGGCGGCATCACGATCAAAGAAATATCAAAGTAATGCAATTAAAATTATTATATACTGACCAGAAATGTTTATAATATCAACCCAATGACGCAAAAGAATTGAGAAAATATTTCGGTATTTTAATACATACAGGGTGATTTGAAATGCTACAAACTATTTCCTTAGTGTCTGTTCTATAGGTATAACACTTTATTTACCGTCAAAACTAATTATTTCTAATACATTTCAATTAACTAAAAGTTATTTTGGATGCAAAACAGATAAGTGTCGTTCGCTTAAAGATCAAAACAGGGAAAGTCCTCTGCAATAATTCAAACGCATCACTAGCATGCTTTAGAACCACGTGAGGTGACGTTACATTGAGAGGTAGATATCAGTTAACCGTCAGTATTGTATTTTAGTATAAAAAATACAGTCGATTTCTTTCTAAATGATATCTGACCACGTGTTAAGAGGTGTTTTGCGGTTAATGTTAATAATTGTATTACTATTTATTCCTGGAAATGGAATAATCCCTTTCAGTTGTGTCTCCATCTAAAGCAAGAAAGAGGAAATGTAATCATGCTTCTACTAAGAGAGCAGTAGCAAAAAATTAAGATAATATTCATTTCCTTTGACCATTTTTTGCTGTACTCATTATGTGATATGGCTTACTCACTAAATCCTTTCAGTCATGACTTTTTCTTTTTATAGATGTTCAATGTGCACTATGAAATAATTGATTTTCTTAAAGGTTTTTTGTAGCAAAAAGAAATAATATTTTAGTTGACAACTGACATATATAATGTGCTACCCGTAGTACACTGTGAGCCAAAGGTAAAAAAAAATAATTTAAGCATGTTTTATTTAAATGTATTAAAATATATTTTACATTACTTTGAGTGGTACAATAAAAAACAATTTTGTTTTTTTTTTTCTCATACATGGATGTACTTTACATTTAATGCGAAAAATGTGTGTTTTTCCAGCACATTTTAGTAATTTACACCTGGTTTGGGAATGTGTAGGTTTATCGTCAAAGTCTGAAATGTGTCCTATAGCATCTAATCAAACTTCTCTATTAGGTCCATATTCTTAATACCATTTTTTGCTAGATGGAGGAGATGAACTGGGTGAATTATCAGTTGAAGATGGTCTTCCAACCTTCTTACCTTTTTGGTCTATATTGAGAAACTTTGCTTCTTCTGGATATTCCAGCCATGCGTTACAGAATTCCAAATCAAGAACATGTGTAAACATTCTTAGGTCCACTTTTTAGACCTTATGAAAGATCTATATCTAGAAATCAAAAAATCTAATTTGTCAACGCCTCCCATACTGGCATTGTAATGTTTTATACCTTCTGGTCGAGGCACCATAAGATACTGTTTTTCTGTTTTACTTCATCTCTTGCAAGTATCTTCTTCTCCTTTTGACTGAAAATTTGAGGCCATGGTTACATATTTGTTATTTAACCATCTAGTCATTATAACTTGTCCATCATTACTAATGATTTCTTGTGAAAATCCTCATTCTTTTTTAGATATTAGCTTATCTGGTAAAAGTGGAGGTTTGCAAAACGTTCTGCTCTGGCAGTACAGGAGGCATACATATGCGTGTTTTGAAGCCACCGCAATACCTAGTTGGTAATTAGAAAAATAATTATCGAAGCAAAGCTAATGGTTTGGATTGGTTATTCTTTCAGTAAGTTTTATTACGACAGCTGCACGATCAAAAACTTGTTGATGAAGGGAATTTAATTCTGTAGTAGGACCTTAGTATAAAACGAAGTCGTGAAGTAAATCGAAACTTCCAGACAAGGCATACAGTTTTATACCCCATGGACACGGCTTGCCTTTTATATATTGCTTAAGGCTTAACTGTCCCTTGAACGAAACAATTTATTCGTTAATACATAATTTTGTTTCAAGTGATAATTGTATACACCTTTGTCGTATTTTGTCGTAAAGAATTCTATATTTCCAAAATTTATCAGTGTTCATTGGCATCAGTAAAATATAGATGGGTTCGTAATTTTGAAACTCTACTGTACGCCATATTATTTTTAACAACATTTACACAAAGTTTGCTGTCCAATAAAGTCTTATACGAGGATAACTTAGGATTTCCATAATAATATGAATGCCCACAAATCTTATTATTTCGTGATATTTGTATTCTCAAAGCGTGTGTTATTTTGCTGGAGATAAAGATTTGTGTATATAACCAGTATCAAACAAGGTGTCATCAAAATATTTATAAAAATAATCTCTTTGTGATTTTAGGTGTGTAGGATTTGCTTCTGTTTTTTGTGCCCATTGTATAGTAGTGGGCGTTATGTATTTTAGATCGTCTCGCCACGTTATTTTGCTTTTTCCGTTAAATCATTTGTCTTTAAAAACTCCTCCATTAATTTTTTACGCCCTAGTTTGCTTTTTAGTAGATCTTGAGAAGTAGTATCATCGTTGTTGACAACATGGGATGCAGAGCTTTGCGAAGTGACACTTTCAGAAAATTCTGCCTTCAAATCATTTACTTGACTGTTAGTATCATTATCATTACCTAAAATTAACTTATCAGATAAGCAAAAATAACTAGTTGATGATCTTACCGATAATTCCCTCGTCTCTCTGGAGATCTTCAAACGTCAATATCTCATCAGTCTCTTCATCACAGAACTCTTCCTCATCAGAAAGTCCAGCCTCTATCAATCCATACAGGTCTTTTTCACTCAATGGTTTATTTTTGCTATATTTACTCATTTTTAAAAGTATATATTTGCAAAAAAATTTAAAAATGTAAGTAGCTGAGGTTTTTCTTTGAATCAAATTGTACTATATTAGTAGTAGTACAACTTAAATATCCCTTATGTCACCACGTACTATCCGTAGTACATTAAAAAATACGTTGTGTTTACGATAAAAAAAGATATACTAATTCGTTAATAATTAATATTTAAGTCAATAAAACGAAGTATAAACTTGTAACAAAAAATTAAAACTTACCTTACAATCGTTTTTTACTGCAAAAAATGTCATCCGAAAATTAGGAAATAAAGAAAGCAACCGTATTTCAGGACACGAGGTTGTCAACTGGTACTAAAATTTTTAGAACTATAGATATCGTTATTGGCTACCATTTTACTAAATGGGTAAAAATGTTATTAAGCCATAGATGGCACCACGCAGCATAAATCGTTCAATTAGCATTATAAAAGTGCACTTCTAGTCGGTGTACTATATGTAGTACGCCATGAGCGAAAGGGTCAAAGTGAAATTTAAAACTCGACCTTACATTCCGTTTATTTTAGACAAAAAAACAACAAGATTGTACGGTATAACTAAGAGGGCTTTCAGACGAGGACTTGACGAAGAGATACTGTATGCTAGATACATAATTTGCGATGGATTCGTATTCATAGTAGGTATGCTCGTCAGTATGAAAACAGTAGCAGTGTAGTGGGGTTATAGTTTTATTTATGGAGAGGAAGAGTTTATTACGCTGTGGTGCATATTAAATAAAATACGTAATTTTTGTGTTCATCCGATTGTAAAATTATGAGAAACTAATGGAACGTATAATTTGCTGTATTAAAATTTATTGCAAGATCCATAGAAGTTTTTTATTTATTTTCGAGTGTCTGTGTATTCGTTTAAAGAACTTCATAAAATTTTGGAAATCCAATTGAGTAAATAAGACAAAACTATTCGTAAAAGTATTTCATAAAAAGAAGAGCTTTCTATGATTTTAAGGAGAGCCATAAGCACACCATCTACTTTTAAGATTTTATTTAGTTTATTCCGTTTAGTTACAAAAAAATACGGTATATAAGTGGAAGCTGAAGAATGCGCAGAGTTTGTTTGAATGGATATAGGACGACTAGAAAGAATAGGTAAAGGCGATTGGTAAACAGGGAAATGTTGTGCAGGATTATTTGTATAATCATATGGATTTGTAGGGAAGATTTGATAGCCTGTTTAATTGCCAATTTCACGTCAATTTTTTTCAATTAGTACTCTTTTTAAATCCAATAGCAATGATAGCAGAAAATGTCGATCTCCCTCGTTATCCAGTAGCGAATCGTTGTTTTGTCGTTGTTCAATACTCTTTTTTAGTAGCTGAATGATTTGAGACTAGTATAATCTGTTGTTGTTGTTGGAATAACCTTTTATTTATTATAACAAACACTCTAAATTTGTTCGCCACTTTTTCTTTTTTCCTTTTTACCAACTTTCGAGCAAAAGAGTTTCTTAAAGTTGTTTCACTTTTTTTGTAGATCTTGTCCTAAAAATATCGACTTATTAAGTACTTTTTTTTAGTTTATATATCTAGCAACTGGTTGCTCCCTTATTAAATTGCATTATAGTTATGGAGTTGGAATATCAACTGCAAGTGAAATATTGCACCAAACATGCCAACAAATTTGGATAGTTATGAGAGAACCCTATACCTAAGCCCACACGTAAGAAATGGTTAGAAATTGAGGGCGACTTTTTAATAAATTCGAATTATACTTACTGTTTGGGCGCCGTTGACGGCAAACATATCATTGTTATAAAACCACAACATAGCGGTTCACTTTATTTTAATTATAAACACTTCTTCTCAATACAACTACTGACTATATGCGACTCGAATTATTGTTTTACATTTGTTGATATTGGAGACTATGGAAAAACAGCAGCAATTCAAGAGTTTTTACAAACTCATTGTTTTACAAGAACTTAATTTCAAATAAGCTTATTTAGAATACATAATTACAGGTTAACTCGAGCACGAAGATTTACCGATTCATGTACTTTTGGAATGCTTTCTAACAAGTGGAGAATATTTCACAGACCACTAAACGTATCAATAGATTTTGCCAAAGATATAGAAACAGGAGAGAGGTTACTGACAAAGAATGTAGAGTGTAGAACCATTTTAATTAATTTTAAACTGTTTGTCCTTGTTTTAGTGTAGTGTTTTGTACAATTTTATGTTAAAATTCAATGTTTATCACATTCTACGCTTGCGGGATAGACCAAAATTTGACGACTTGCCCCTGAAGATGCTGTAAGCGAAAGTACTTGGGCAAGATTCAATTGTTAAAATTGTGCTCGATATTTGCCTTTTATTTTTTAAAGTTTATTTAATAAATGTCTATTCGACGGCAACATACTCGAACAATGGAATACTGCTAAAACAATACTAATACACAAAAAGGAAGACACAACAGAGCTGAAAAATTATCGACCAATCTCTATTCTTTCACAACTTTACAGAACATTTACAAAGATTATTACAAACAAGTTAACAATTAAATTTGACGGATATCAAACAGTAGAACAAGCCAGATTTAGAAAAGGTACAGCACCTGTAACCATCTACATACTTTGAAAATCCTAATAGAAAAGACTAACGAATACGATCTCCCATTATGTCTGAAAATATGACAAAAGTATTCGTGTCTAAAAGCGTTCATTTAACGTAATGCTTCTTCTACATCTGGCTCTGGCATACGCTTTCAGTCGTAGAGGGCTCTCAGACGAGGTTACTGTATGTGAGATACTGTATGCGAGATACAGAATTTGTGTCTGAATGCGTTCATTTAACGTAATGTTTGTTCTGTATCTGGCATACGCAATCGGTATCTCGCATACTGTATCCGTCGCGCGTCCCGTGTGAAAAGCTCCATTTGAGTCTATGTAATATCTGCGTCTCGGATACGCGTATCTCGGATACAGTATCCTCGTCTGAAAGGCGTCGTAGGCGATATGAAGGTCCGAGATACGGAATTCGGTATCTCGCATACTATATCCGTAGCGCTCCACGTGAATTTAATAAGAAGTTACCGCATATGAGCACCGAATATTCCGGAGCCTTACAACATCAATTGCGACTTACTAAATCAGTAAATTCAGCAAGTGGAAATATTATAAATAAAGCATTATAAAACCTCCTTTTTTTAGTCTGGCATATATTTCTGTTTTCGAAGTCTGACATTAATGTTATAATAATCTGTTATATTTGTATTTGAAGTTTGAATAATATATTTTGAGTTGTAACTAAAATCTTTGCTAGTGCAAATCAAAGGTTTATGTTTTTGAGTGTTCTTGAATAGCCCAAGCTATTCACAAAAAAGTTAAAGATTTTTTGCAGTGCTAAAAGTAGAAGAAAGGGAAACTCTGACGCTATCATTTGATTGCAAGAAAAATCATGGTCCCAAAATAAAAGATCAGGAGACTTACTATCGACGAGAAGTTTACTTCTTTTTTTTTTCAATGGAAATTTTTTTCTATTGTTGGTAGTTCTCAGTACAAAATGTCTCCAAATAATTGCTTTTACTATATATGAACTGAAGAAACCTATCCAAAAGGTTCAAATGATGTAGTGTCATCTGTATTTCATTATCTGCAAATTTTAAATACATCGCAAGTTGAGAAGGTCGCTTTTTGCAGATGGCTGCGGCAGCCAAAATAAAAATAAAACTATGATTGCCTTGCTACACAGATAACTGCTATTCGCTCTTAAGAATGTTCTTAATTTCTTTCTTACCTCGTCTTATTTAAGATGATAAAGAAATAAGATTGTTGACATATTGACAAAGAGTTTTTCCGTAAGTATCCTGTCGTTTAAACCGCAGAGGTGGCGGCACATTGATGAGAATGGCTACTGAACGCCAGCACTGCGAGATCTCGATTGCACAACGGTATTTAAAAAAACTAATTATTTAACGTCACCAGCTATCGCAACAACAAAACTAATAATATCTTAAAACTTAGCATTTGGGTTTAATATAAACACTATTGCTAGACTAAATGGTAATATACACATTCTTAATAGGTACTTAAAAAGGAATACCGCTGAGTTTATGATACGCAGTTGTTCTCCTAAGAAATAGTATAATAGTTTTCATCGTTCTTGGCGTGTGCATGTAAAAACACTTGCAATAAGTTTTTTCATCTGTCTTTCCTTGTCTAAGCTCGATTCGTTTACCTCCTCCAGTGGCTTAGCAAAATGTAGCATGTCAAACGAAATAATAGTTATAAAAGAAAATTATAAATTATCTCTCATCAAATTTCTAATAACGGAATATACGTATAAATTGTGAAGAAGTATTTTTCTAGCTTGCAGTACAATGGGACAGGATATAACGAAAAGTACATTTTAAAAGGATTTTGAAATATACCCAAAAATTTGTTAATTATTTAATCCACTTTAATTAAAAAATGATACAAATTTTTTAAGTTTTAAGCACTGTAGCGAATTCTGAACTGTTACAACGTACTGACCTTGAATAATTAGCTAATCAGTCAGCGTCTTCACTGGAACTGTCTTCATCATTGGAATCTTCCACCAAATCGATGATAATCATACTTTCATTTCCATCATCTGTGACCATTTTTGCCCAGTCGTCCTGAATTAATTTTTCAGTATGGTTAACACAACTCACCCATACTGCAGGTGTTGCCTCAGCTAATGCATCGCCCCAAACTTTTTTCACTGTTTCATCTCCCCGTCCATGTTCTCCAATATGACGATCATAGTATTGTTTAAAAATGCCCCAGACCAACTCAATCGGATTATATTGACAGTGATATGAAGGCCATCTCAAAACCTGATGCCCATGTTCTTGGAGTAGCTCGTTTATAACGTACCTGGTATTTTGTGGTTTATTCTGGCGACAAAGACTCAATAGCTCTATCTTGCCCGAATCGTCGTCAAAAATTATTTTTTTCGCTCGTAACCATTCTTGTAAGTCCGATTTTTTCCAACTGGC